CATTGTGAGTGTTTGGAATGGCTATGTCTATAATGTATGTGATTTTATTGTGTTTGTCAATGAGTGTGATGTCTGGTCTGTTGTGGTAAATTGTTTTATCTGTGATTATGGCTCTGTCGTAGTACATTTTGTGCGTGTTGTTTTCTAATACTGTCTGTGGGATATACTTGTAGTATGGTTCGTGAATGTCTACCAGTTTGTGTTTCTTTGCAAGCTCTTGGTGTATTATATTTGCTACTTGATTGTGTCTGTGTAAATAATCTGTCTGTGCCAAGAGCTTGCACCCAGAAGTAATGTGTTGTATAGTTTCTGGCATGATGTGACATTTTCTGCATGTGTCATTTGTGAGTGTTGTATCTTTGAGTATATGTTTCCTGTAGTTTTTAGTATTTATTATTATTATTATTATTATTAAAGAAAAAGATAAGACTGGATTAACTTTTAAACTATAACCTAGCTAATCACTATAATATAAATAATTTGCACTAAAGGTAGACAATTTGGCAATTGTACTATATAGTCTAAATTATTTAATTTAAAATTAATGCACTTATTTAAAAATTTAATACAAGATGGTAATCTAACTGCCTATTATTATACATTTTAAAGTATAAAAATCTTATTTTATGTATGAGATTCTAAAAAGTTCTAATAAAATTTTATTTTGATATTAAAACTTTTCAATATACCAAAAGCACTTCATTTTCTGTTGAATTAAAAATGTACATTCTGTAAAAATTAATAACTAAAGTAAAATTGCTTGATATTACTTACTGTTTCCTTTATAGTGCTAACTTCACCAGATAAAAGATCTTGCTTTAATTTTTCCTCTTTTAATTGCCTTTTAGCCTGTTTTAAAATGAATAATCAATAAATGACATTATAGAATCTTCTCAAATTCCTCAAAAATACTTAATTTATTGAAAATTATATAATAATTTAATTCAAATCAATTATAGTTGAAACTATTTTGACTTTAAAAATTAAACTTTTTTCTCTACACTTACATTTTAAAATTATCATCAAACAAATGTAAAAATTTCTGATTTCTAATAGAAAAGTATGATTCATACTAATTGGATGATAGGTAGTTTTGTATATTATATAAATATCATAAATCATAGCTTATAATTCTACTAGTCAGACTGATATACTTACAGGCAGACTAATTTTAGTATAATCAGATTAAATTATTCTAATTTATATCTGTTGGTTCTGTTTTGAATCTGTTTTAATTCATAACTTCACAAATTTAAACATGTTAATTATCAATCACTTTAGAAATATTCATTCAAATACTTTTATTTTTGCTCTTTAATTAAACAATTTAATTACATAAATTTAAAGCAAGCATTCTGTACAAAGAACAAATTTTTCTAGAAAATACCATTTAATTGCAGTTTTATTATTAGGTATTGCTGTTCAGTTTATCAAACTGTGTTAGAATCTTGACCGAACAATCGTCAAGGATCAATTACTTTGATTAAGAAAAATAAAGATTATAAATGTTTAATTATCTTAAAGAGAAATCAGACTACTAGGAGTAAAATAGAAAAATTTGTCTCATACCATCTAACCATTTTCTTTATTGTTTTCTTTATAATCTGCACATTTGTCAAATTATCACCACTAAAAATTTAGAGATTTTTACATGTGATACAGCAATTTTACAATGATAGATGCTTTAGTTTTTATCATTTTTATTTCTGAATCATCATAGTTCATTGATTTTACTACAGATATGTCTTTCTCAGAAAAAATTAAGTAACATTAATTATTAATTTCCTAATTTATGTAGTTTACTGTATCATCTTTGTTTACTTTTTAATATATATTTTTTGTTTTAATGTACTGTACTTCTATATCAATAGAAATATAAATTAAATTTTAAGAAAGCTTATGCATCAATCATTTTTCTTGCAACAATTATTGATTTCCATATTTAATATATAATAATTTCAGAAAATTAAAAGTAATAAAACTACACATTTTTAGTTAATGTTAAATTCTTCTTTTAACTTTTTAACAGGTTGTGGAGTCGGAGTCAGAGCTGGAGTTGTGGAGTTTCAGTGTTTTAGTCGGAGTCATCAAAAAATCCAGCAAACTCCGACTCCTTTTTACTTTCCAACTTGTTATGCATATAAAACGAAAAAGTATTGAAATCGTGTCAAATTCAACCCAATAATTTTGCAAATCTACATATTCAGAGATCTCCTGAACCCAAAAAATGTCAAAGGGGAAAATTTTCACACGTGTTGGCATCTAATTTGTTTAATTTCTTTATTCTCTGTTCTGAGATATTAAACAATATCTCAGAATGGCTAAAGTTTAAGAAATGAAATTTGGCATATTAGCTTGTATATAAAGGGACATTAATGCTATTAAATTTTGGTTCTTAATTAAAGGTCGACAGGGTGAAGACCTAGAAGGGGTCATGTGTCATATCTCCAGTATGGTCAAACTTAATGAATATTTTACTTCTTATTAGTGTTCACAATCTTTTTTTAAATAAAACTCGTCTCTACCCTCAAAATTAAGCTTTTTGTCATTTTATAATAGACAGTAAAACCCATTAAGATGTTCTCGCCTTAGATGTTGAAATGTGTATGAGAGCACGATTTAGTTCAACTACTTTGAAGCTTAATAACTCNTTTATAATAGACAGTAAAACCCATTAAGATGTTCTCGCCTTAGATGTTGAAATGTGTATGAGAGCACGATTTAGTTCAACTACTTTGAAGCTTAATAACTCCTGTGTTAAACCATCCAACTCCAATTTAAAAACCACAGAAGTTATTAGGCTACAAACAGTGTGAACAAAATCATGCCTCTCACACACAGTCCATACATACAGAAAAAAAAAAAACCTGAATCTTTTGCATATCTCAACATGTCAAGGTGTCCCGAGTCCAAAAATGTAAAAATTTGGGAGGGGTCATTTTCCGACACCTTCCCTTTCCCTTTGTTATATATATAACAGCCGGGAAAGTAAGTATTATTGAATACTTATTTATATATTGACTGTNAAAATGTAACAACATTTTTTCAAATAACATCTTAATTTCTGAGTCTGCTTACAATGCTCAAATTATAGTTGATAGGAACAAACAACAGTGTATCATACAGAATAAATACAAATGATTGTCTGATTTTATCAGACCATATTAATGATACTATTAATAATTAAATTTAGCCTAGAGGTAGGCATTAGACACCATCTCTTGATAAATTTAATAATTAATTTAAAGGGTTCTGGAAGAAACAAATCGATCCAAAGTGAAACTCAAACCTGCAACTCCCACATACCATGTGATTGCATTGCCAGTTACGCTAATCGGATCTCTATCCAACCTTTCATTTCCAGAATTATTAATTTAGATATAATCATACCAGTTACTCAGTGCTGACTGGAGACAACACAGTGCCAATGGCATATAACTCTGGCAATTGCCAAGTGTCATCAATGAATGTGACAATGAATAATCCATAACAACTAACCATCATTAAATGTGATGGATTATTTTGTCTGTGATGCACTCTTGCTGGTATCATTACGGGTTATTGGAACTATCAAGTCCACTCATCTTGACAAAGTGATGACTAGTGAGAAAACTATTGTTATTGCATAATTATTATACATTAGTTTCATTTAATAATTCAATAAATAAAGTTAATACCTCAAAACAGTTTTTCTTTGTATGAGTTAAAGCACCACAGTTTTCACAAGCTCCTTTTCTGTATTTGGTGGCTGTCTTTGCCTGAAAAATTTAATTTTATAATAAATCTGTACGCTAATTAAAAATTATTATGAATATTAATTAATTAAATTCATTTTGAATAAAATTATATGAATTTTTTTGGCAAAGTGAACAAGAAATAGTTATGCAACATATAAACAGTGCTCCACTATTTATGTGTTTCATATTTGTATGTCTTTCATTTCCTCCAATATTAGATCAAAATATTTTATTAAAAACCATGCTTGGAATTTCTAAAAAGACAAGTGAAGATATCATTTTAAATAGTCTATGTTGGTGATTTTAATGAACTTTAATGTTCTGGATTATTATTTTAAAGGATAAATGTGATTTAATAGACAGAGTAATACCATATTTTCTGAAAATATGAACAATGATTAATAAACTTTTATCTTTATTAAAAAGTTTTCATGCTAAAACACACTCATTTTTTGTATTACTTAAACTGTTTTATACTTTCAATAACTAATTCTAACTTTATTATTGTCAATAATGTTTCCTTGCTGATACAATCCATTTCTTACAATTGTGAATATGTTAAAAAGATTATTATTCGCAACTATCCTCAAGTAGAATATCTCAATCACTCATCAATTTTTAATACAGCATAGTAAAGTTATTGCTCTATACCATAAGAAAAACCCTGAAGGTGTCACTTGCAGAAATGAATCAAGATTTTAACCAATTTTAATGTAAAAACACTTACGTGTTGTGGCGTTACCACGTTGAAAATATTAAAATAAATTGTTCACAAATCGTTCACAAGTACTTTTTATGGTTTTCCATTATTATGGAAAACCATAAAAAACCAATTTTAATATTTAGCAATATAAAAAATAAGATTTTTTTTCATTTATCCAGTTACAAAATTTATTATACAAGTGGCAAAAATACAAGTAGACCAAGTCCAAATTTTCACATTCTGCTACAAAACAGATTATAAGATTCTGTGGACAAACACTTGCCATTATGCGAATGGACCAAGTTCCTCAGCCTAAGGTAAAAGCCTAAGAAACTCTATCATCCATTTGTATCATCATGGCAGATGTGTGTCGCAGAATCTTATAATCTACTTTGTACAAAAGTATGCAGTTTTCTCAGTGCAGAAATTTGAATTTGCTCTACTTGTATTTTCAGCCACTCACCAGAAATTAAACTTCATTAAATAGTGGCATTTTCAATAAAAAAAAAAATTGTAAATTCGACATTTCACAGATGTAAAGAGAAATTTGTAATATCAAACTACATTATGTGGAAGTCTGACCATATTCTTTATATAATTATATATAATTCATATATAATTAAATTCTTTTTAATTAAAAGAATCATAATAAACTACATTTTACAAAAATAAATACAAATATGTCAATATGTAATCATTTCAAACACCATTATTTTCTAGGAATTATCATATCCACAGACTTCATAATTATTAACCAATGAACAACTTTATTTTACCCAAGAAACAGAATAGAAGCAAAGGATAAATCATAGCTGAATTGTAAGAATAACTATGCCTATATCACCACAGAGTCCATATAAAACAACTGCAGCTAAATTATTTAAAAACAGACATATGGTACTTTAGAATATGTATGAGGGAGGGAATTACATTATCCACGTTAACATTAGCAGAAAATATCAGGAACGTCATGCAAAAAGACGATTTGAAGACAGTTAAGAAAATAATATTGAAGTCAGTTATTAGATTGGGTAAAGCTGTTGATTGGGTAGTAATTATGAAGTCTTTGGACATGATAATTCCTAGAAAATTACAGTGTTTAAACCAGTTACATATTGAGGTTAAAGAAACAAAATAGAAGCAAAGGATAAATCATAAATAAATACAAATAGTTTCTATATCTATATTCGACTAACCTTTAGTCCTCTAACAAAATGTTCTTCGATCTTGGTATAACTTTGTCGTCTTTCTGGCTGAGGTCGTTGATGTTTCAGAGTGGGACAGGAAGAACCAAAGTACCAAGGAGCAGTTGCTATATATTGAGGAATGTGCGGATTGATTTCTCTGAAATAATAAAATTCCCATTATGAAACTTTGTTTTAAAATTTTAAATTTTAGAAAAAAAAATTTAACTTTTGTAGTTGTTAAAAATTAATACTACAGTAGAATCCTGATTATCAAAGTTAATGTGGATCAAGGTCAGCTTGAATAATTTCTATTGCAGTATTAAGTGATTAATTTCATAACAATATTTTTGTTTGTTTTAATATCATAATTAATATGAATTTAAAATGTAAAACCAATTTTTTTTAATACAAAAGGTCACTTGAGTAAAATCTTTTTAAAACATCTAGAGTGCTTTTTCAAATACTATGCATAGTCCAGCCAAGATTTGTAAGGCAAACTGTATTGTATTCTTTTCTCTATTTTCAGAGACTCTTTCCCAATTCACTTGAATTAAATAAGCCTCAGTCAATTTGAACTGTAAAAAATATAATTGACATATATTAGCCCTTTCTAGTCTGATTTTCTAAATCTAGATCACAAGACTGTGCATTTGCACCTCATTAAAAAATGCTTAATTGTGGGGAACCCATTGGTACACCTTGCGTTTGTTTATATATTTTCCCATTAAATTGGAAATAATTATTATGAGTGACAAGAAAAAGAGCTTCACACAAGTGTAGAACGTGTGATATTGGCTGACTAGAATTGAGGAATAGAGTATTTGCCAGCATGACAGCTTCGAAATACGGGACAGACGGAAATAAAGAGATGACATCGACTTTGTAAAGTCTGTATGAATTAGAGCGGAGGTTTCTAATTTTATCCAATTGCTGGTATAATGTGCTTGCATCACACTGTTTTGAAAATCGTATATGGGCCAGGTACACTTGCATTTCTTTATCTGCTATTGCTTTACGTTTGCTTCTTATTAATTTAGCCAGCAGTTTTCGTTCGGTTTGAGGTAATATTGTATGCACTTCTTTTAGGAAGGAATCATACTTGAGCGCTATGCACTTCGGAATAAGGTGTGTTTTCTGGCACTTTAGTAAAAACCATAACTGTGCTTTTAGTCTTAACCATATAATTCTCGTATTCAATAGAGAAAAGAAGTGTTTTCTATTATTATCCATGATATAATATACAATGTCACTTCACGCCAACTTTTATTATATGATTATAACACTTACATATTGTGGCGTTACAGGAGTGGAGTCTTGGAGAAGGAACTCGTCCGACTTTAGAAATTGAACTCGTCCGCTAGTACTTTCAGTAGTAATAACTACTGTCTTCAGGCGGTCTATCGAATACAACAGCTTAAGATTTTCGAACACTTATCCGACGGTTTCACAAATTTCGGATTTTCGAAATTATCGAACAATATTATTGACGAATTAACTGATTTTTCCGTTTTTGTATGTTATTTAAAGCTCGTTTTATGCATCATAGCACGTGGAACAAAAAGAGTTTTACTTAAGCATGTTTTAGGAAGAATAAGGCCGTAAAAGAGCCCAGAACATGCATAAAGTATAAGATATGTCAAAAAGACATCCGAATAACAAAGACTTCAACATAGTGGATTTAGTTGTTTAAAGGCTGTTACCCGAAGTTCTGGTAATTCGAGAGTTGGGGAGTTGCACGGTTCAGTGGCTGAAATATAGAGACTCTCCCAAACAAATAGCTCTTTATGTTCGTTGCAGCCTTTCAGTAATTTTGTTTTGTTCCAGAGTGGTTGGTAATTGTGTTCAAGCACTTTCTTTACTAACTCTGTAACTGGCCTGCTGTTTTTGATGTTGTCTTGATGTTCAAGAATACGTGAACATAACCTTCTAGTTGTGGCCCCTACAATTGATACCACCCACTATCGCGGCCATAAAGAGCACCAAATGTCCAGAAGTGCAGCTTAAGTTAGACCTGTCTACTTTGACAGCCATAGCATCGAAACATTCTTCTAAAACTACAAGTACCAATCTGAAGACAACGCAGATGGTTAAATCTTTCCTGGCAACGAATCAGATAAATCTATTAGTGGCTGATAAAGAAAAACGTTTTGTTCTATGCAAAAACCAGGATTTTCTAGATAGAACCAAAGAGTTCCTTGAACATTCCAAATCCATCATACTAAAAGAAGATCCTACTTCCACGGTGTTAAGAAAAGCACGCAAAGTTATAGCTTTACCTGGAATAGTGGAATCGTTGGGTGGTCCTCTCAATCCTCTGAAGAATGTCACCTGCCCTAGATTATTTTTTGAGGTAAAAACGCATAAACCTTACTGGCTGCTAAGACCACTAGTCAATAAAAGATCCCATCCCACGTACCATCTCGAGGCTGCACTAGCAAAACACATCACTTCTTTGATTCCGCCTTCTGAATTTGTAACACATGCCTCCATTGAAGCTAAAGTTACCATCTTACAAAAATTAGGAAACCTCCGCTCTAATTCATACAGACTTTACAAAGTCGATGTCATCTCTTTATTTCCGTCTGTCCTGTATTTCGAGGCTGTCATGCTGGCAAATACAAATGCTTAATTTTTATAACAATGTAATGAATCATTCAAAGGTATATTTAACAAGAAATATGTTTACTCTGAATATTTTTACACTGTTTAAAATTTATTCACAAGAAATTTTTTAAAACAAATTATTTTAACAAGAGCTACATATCCTTTGCTGTTTTCTACCCCAATGATATTAATCAATCATCTTTGGACATCACTGTTTTGTCTGACAGGCATTTAAAAAAATAAGCCCATTCATCTGTGTTGAAAACAGCCTATTGTTCTGTACAGTCTCTGGCAAAACCATTTTGCATAGTCCTCCTTCCTCCTCTCACACTTTGGCATTTTCATCAAAGATTTTACTGAAAACTATTCTGTACATCTTCTCGTGTGTGTTGAATCTTGTACGACCCAACTGTTGTCCAAACTGTTTGGCTTTTTCTCTAAGATGATTTCCATCAACAAGAATATTCTTGTCTCTACACTATACAAATCAGTTTGGCATGCACATTTGCACATTTTGACATCCAAATGCTCAGATTTATGCATTATTTTCTATTCTATTCTCTCCATGTTTTTCAGTTAGGTACAGCAAGTATTTAATGGAATTTCATTTTTTTTTTGCTTTCTCTGTAGTCTTTCTTTTTGATGGATACATTTTCTGCTATTGCCAAATTTTAGTTTTCTCTTGTGTGCCATTTCTACCTACTTTGAAATGAAAACAGTCAACATACTGATTATAACTGTTCACTATCAGCAATGAAAATGTCAACAAGCAATTCAAATTTTACAGCAAAATTTATACAACATAAATGTTTAGTTCCAAATAAGAAGATACACATAGACAAATTCAAATCTGATTGGTCAACAATTCAGTCATCAAATCATAGGTGTATTTGTTACATTGTCAAATTTTCAAAATTTAAAAAGTAATTATTTTAAAATTCAAAGATTTGATTGGTCAATTTGCATTTAAAAATAAAAAAAATTACTTTAAGTACAAAATGCCGTTAAAATTTTACTTTTATGCTATTTAATTAGAGGCATAATTCTATAGAATATCAATCAATTTCATGATATAATCTATCCCTTAAAAATGCAAAAGAAAGCACACAAAATTAGACATTAAATAAAGTTGCTGGATTTAAATTTTAAGCTAGCAACACATGATCTCAAAACTACTTTGACTTGAATGCATTGAGTCTATGGAAGTTAAGTTAAGATAAAACTAAAATTTGAGTTAGGGAAGATCAAGTTATTGAGAGTGACTGTATTATCTTTCATAATTACAATTTCAAAAAGAATAATAATATATAAATTATATAAACAAATGGATATTCAAGAAGATATTTATCAAAAGCAATACTCTTATGGAATTAGTGGTAATATATATTAAAAATATTTCACAATTCAGTATATAAATATCTGTAAAATTCATTTTTTCTTAGTTGGAATTTCATTTTTAAAAGCCAGTTACTTTTCTTATTCTTGATTGTTTATTATTTCCCATGATACTTTTATTGACACAGTTAATGTTATTTAGATGTTACTACACAATATTTAATTTTTATTGAATATTGTAATTTTAAATTTTGTAATCAAAGTACTAATTTAAAAAAATAATAGTAATAATAATCACAACATGGAAATTTCCATATTAATTAATTAAAATTTAAGACAAAGCCCATTAAAACAGTCACGTTTCTATTCACTCTCATGTTCTAGAACACATCCCGTGGCAATTAATTAATTTAAAGGTAAAGATTGGGTCATCATGAAATGTATTCCAGAATATGAAAGTAAATATAAAAAGGTATCTGTTTCAATGGATTTCCTCTTCAATTTTGATCAAAAAAATATTAAAATAATGTCCTTGGAATTAATTATGAATTAATGAAAAATAAGTTACATAGATCACCTTTGACAATCAGACAATAGCATAAAATATTTTTTGTAGTAGTTCATTCTTTAAACTAATAAAAATTTAATTCATTGTGACAAACTTTTTGAAATTGAATCCTAATAGCAACACATATACGAGTTTGATAGTGAATGAATGAATTTAGTAATAAATTTATTTATTTAATACCAAGACCAGAGCATCTGTTATCATGTACATTTTTAAAACTTTCTGTTCTAAGAACACCAAAAAGGCTTTATTTTTCCAAGCACACTGTAAGTTTGGCCCACAATGGAGAATGCCAACATATCTGGGATAGACCATTACCAAAAAAGTACCTGGGCTCTTCTGTTATTGTCAAAATCTTTTATTTATTAATGTCAAATGATCTGCTATATTATTGGACTACAATAAGGCTAATTCTGTAATCAATTATAAAGTAATTTGTCTAGAGCAATGGTTCTTAACCTGTGGTCCCTGAAAGCACCCGAAGTGGTCCATGAAGTTATCCCAAAATTATTTTAAAAAAACGACGAGTTGATGACAATGCGCAGTACGTCAAGGTTAGAGCCGCCGACAGCGGACTAGGCTGTGGTATGGCGCGCGGTCAGAAAATATGAAATTGGAAGTCACTAGTAATAAATTTGCATTTCAAAATAAAATCAGTGCGTTTATCGCTAAAATCGACCTATGGATCAGCAAAGTCAAAAGAGAAAATTTTTCTGCATTTGATACATTGAACCCAATTATTAATTGGCAGTGTGTTGAGATTAAAGGACAAATACAGAAGAACATTACATTCCATTTGCAAAGCTTGAAAAATAAATTTAATTGCTATTTTCCTGACTGCAAAAACAANTTCCACATCCACCGTACTCACCTGATTTGGCCCCCAGTGACTTCCACCTTTTTCCAAATTTAAAATAATTTTTGGTTGGAAAGAGATTCCACTCAAATGACAAAGTCATCTCTGAAATAAACGAGTATTTTGCACACCTTGACAAATCGACCTATTGTAATAGCATAAAAAAGCTAGAACATCGCTGGAATAAGTGCATTGCTAACAAAGGAGACTACATTGAAAAATAAATAAAGTTTTAACATTATTTTGTTTGTTGTTCTATTTGAGGCCGTGAACTTTCCGAACAGCGCTCGTATTCACTCTCATGTTCTAGAACACATCCCATGACAATTAATTTAAAGGAAAAGATTGGGTCGTCATGAAATGTATTCCAGAATATGAAAGTACAGCTGTCCCTTGATAGTCTGACGTTTTGTAATCCGACATGCTCAGTAATCCGACGCACCTCCCGTCAAGGTACCTGTCCCCGTTAGGTGTCTGCTTGCACAGAAGCATGTTGCGACTTGAATCTCCCCACCCAATTCTTACACAATGACACATATTTCGTGTGTTTTCTGTGAGCAGTTCTGTTCAAACAGTTGGAGTAGGGAATATTGTAGGCTACTGCTAGCAAAACAATGCCAAATATGTAATCAGTTTTGGTAATCCAAACACTTTTGGTAATCCGACACCCCTTTGGCCCATACCTATCGGATTATCAAGGGACAGCTGTAAATATAAAAAGGTATCTGTTTCAATGGGTTTCTCTTCAATTTTGATCAAACAAAATATTAAAATAATGTCCTTGGAGTTAATTTTGAATTAATGAAAAATTTAATTCACAATGAATTAATTATTAATTCATTCTGACAAACTTTTTGAAATTGAATCCTAATAGCAACACACATACCAGTTTGATAGTGAATGAATGAATTTAGTAATAGATTTATTCATTTAATATCAAGACCAGAGCATCTGTTATCATGTACATTTTTAAAACTTTCTGCCCTAAGAGCACCAAAAAGGCCTTTTTTCCCAAGCACACTTATCAAGTTTGACCCACAATGGACAATGCCAACATATCTGGGATAGATCACTACCAAAAAAGTACCTGGGGTCTTCTGTTATTGTCAAAATCTTTTATTTATTAATGTCAAATGATCTGCTATATTATTGGACTACAATAAGGCTAATTCTGTAATCAATTATAAAGTAATTTGTCTAGAGGTAGGTGTTAGGACACTATCTTGTAATAATTTTAATATTTACAATAAATTAATTTTTAATTTAGAATTTAATAGCTCTGGAAGCAATGGTCAGTCAGAGGTCTGGGTAGCATAACTGAAACACATCTGTACGCAAATCCACAACTCTTGTACAGATGGGTCAATTCTTTTCTTCCAAAAATTCTAAATTAAAAATTAATTTATCATAATTATTAAAATTATCATGAAATCATGAAATGACAGCTTAACTGCATATATTCAAATGCTTTATAACTCATTATTAAATCAGTCTTATTGTAGCCTGATAACACAACAGATCATTTGGCATTACTTAAAAATTGAGTCAGTGGATTGATTGTTTATATAGCCTATCTATTATTTATTACTTATTCATATAGTAGAATCCTGTTTAATTAGCTACTTCTTGTGACAAAAAGTTCAAGAAAATTGTGAATTTTTTTAAAATATTAAAACTTTAACAAAAGATATAACATGTAAATACAGTAAGACCCCGTTTAACACAGTGGATGTATTCCTAGATGACAAAGCGCTAAACAAAGCAGCATTAAACAAGGTCATTTTAACAGAGTAAATAAAAAAAGGGAAACACTCCTCCAAAAATAAACAAATTTTATCATAATTTTAAGTTATTTTTATATTAATTTTCATAATAATATATGTTAAATAACGCACAAACATGTGCACACAGAATGTAAAGTTCATTTTTTGTGACTTTTCAGAAATTATTGTTTTTTTGCAATAAAGTCGTGAGGTTTCAATTGTCGCTTTTTTCTTTCCTTAAGCATATGTCGGTAGTGGAAGATCGCATCCAAAACGCATTGTTTTACTTTTGCACTTCTTTCAAAATCGTTCGCTACAATTTGATCAACAATGTCGGTTATCATTACCAAACTTTTTTACTAAAAAAATCTGTAGAGAAATCTTTTGGTTTTTTGTTTACAGAATCTCTATTTTCCAATTCTACATGAATTCCTTGTTCTACCAGTTCTTGAAGGTCGTCCTTGGTAAGACTCTCACCAGAAATCTGCGGTAACACCTCAATATTCTGCTCATTTACATGTCCTAGAACCGCTGTATCAATAAGCTTGACAATTTGGTCGACCTAATGATACAGTAATAGACTCTTCTNTACATCTGCGGAATCCACGTCATGTGGACTACGTTACGCGAGCAAACGTTGTGTAGTTTGCGGCTGCTTCGTGCTCGCGTAGCTTACCTAGCAAAAATGGCTCAAAGCATCATGGGAAAAAAGGCGGGGCTTAGGAGCGCGAGCGAGCGTACGCTAGCTCCCGCATCCTGTAGTTTGCGGCGGCTCTAAGAAAATCTGTAGAGAAATTTTTTGGTTTCTTTGTTTTCAGAATCTCTATTTTCCAATTCTACATGAATTCCTTGTTCTACCAGTTCTTGAAGGTCGTCCTTGGTAAGACTCTCACCAGAAATCTGCAGTAACTCCTCAATATCTTGCTCGTCTACATGTCCTAGTCCCACTGTATCAATTAGGTTGACAATTTGGTCAACCTAACGATACAGTGATAGATTCTTGTCATTGAGAATTCTTGGATACCTTCAGCCATAACTTCTTCTACACTTCGTTTGTACATTTATCAGTTAATTCTTGCCAAGCTAAGTTGCTATTTCCTATGACATCCATGATGTTATATTTTTTCCAAAATTGTACCAAACACAGATTTAAAGAAAGTACACCTTTTTGCCACCTTTTGCTGATTGGTTTGTGTTTGCAAATAATCATATTATAAATGAATCAATGAAATGCCACAATAATTTAAATAGGTATAAATTTTGAGCTTTTTTAAGGCTTCGAGCAGACCACGTTATATCGAATCAGCATCAAGTGGGGTCTTACTGTAATTGTAGAAATTAAATTATTCCTTTAAGTGTTTTACTCATTTAATGATCATTCATTGTGAATGATATAACTACCTTTTTTAACCTTTGATCATTAAATAACTCACCGATTAAATCAATCAATCCTTTTATAACTCTTAGAAAAAAAATATAAATTTCTCCAAACATACCTTCCTTCTTCATCGACAGCAGCTGGAGCTGTTCCTAATTTTCTTTCCTCCTCTAATTGTTTCGATTTTCTCCAATCTCTTTTTTTGTCTTTTGGTTCGTCCATGTGTAAAATGATTCTTTTATTTCGATTCATTTTCTGTTAAAATTCAAAATCAGTATTAGAATTAAGTTACATAGTTCTTTGAATTGTGTTTGCCTGATGAATTATAATTATAATAATAAAAAGGTACATTTTATTAGCTTTACAATCTGCTTTTATATCCATTAGTAATGTTATGGTAATTTATATGTTTTATGATGTAAATACAGTAAGGTTGTGTTTTAAGTTTCTTTTTAGAAAGATTCACATCAACAAACATTTCAAAGTAAATACAGGTATACCTCACCTTACGTCGGTAATTGGTTCCAGGAGAACGATGTAAGTCGAAAAACGACGTAAGTCGAATTTACTTCTCTCCGAATCTACTTATCACTAGGCTAAACCGTAAATTACAATTCCCGGTTCTGTATTTTATTTATTAATGCATTTTTAATAATATATAGTTAATAAAAATCTATTTTAAGCTTACACACAAATAAATTTTAGTTTTTAATACAGTACAGAAAAAAAGTAATCCAAATTTACAAATGCATGTACTGTAAATACAGTACATACTTGTATATATTTTAATATGATTTTATGTGCTTTAAACATTTTTCTAGTGATATTACGACTTCAATATTTGTGGCGGACAGACGTAAAGTCGAATAAAATGACTTAAACTTGATTTTTATTTTTCCATATACTTTTTTGACAAACGACGTATAATTGGAAACGACGTAAGTCGAGGTATGCAAAAAGTCAAAAATTAAACAAAAGAAAATGAAAGACAAAAACAAAAGTATAAATGTATAATATCTTAGCAGCATAGAATTGCTATTGTTAATAAATTTTAATTTTACAATGTTTTGGTGAAAAAAAACTAGCAACTATTTTTACTGACTTGCAAACATTCCTTTCTTTTTACATTTTATACAGACAATACATATCCAGAAAGACAAAAATAAAAATTCAGGCTTGTTCTCTCCCTCTTTCTCCAAACAAAAAATGGAATTGATTCAATGCATCAAATTATGTGAGCATCATGTGCAAAGCAATAAAACAAAGTAATTCAAAGTGGATAAGACAGTGTTTGTACACTACAGTCGACTATAAAGACCCCACCAATTTTGCGTTAGCTTTAATTATAGCTAAAATGCACTTAAACAAATGGAATGTGAGAGTTCTAAAGAAGTGACATTTCACTTTAATCTCACAATATTTACAGTTTGCAAGAGATCATAAAAAATGACAAAAGTCAATTTTAAGACATGTCCAAAAGTATAAGGACAGCACAAAACATAATTTTTCTCAGCCAGATACAATATTTGCATCCAGAAAATATGTCCAGCCAAGAAAAATCATACCATCGCTTGCTGTCCTTATACATTGGAGATAGTCACACGACTAACTAAAACAATTTACTGCAAGCAAAATATCCCACAATAAACGGTTCTCAGAAATTAAAGTTTGGGTCCACCGAAATCCAAGCGAATAAAACCACCAAATGCCGGCAGCCGATGACAAGTTCGTAACCCGCCAACAGGCAGGTCGAGCAAAGTTTTTCGAGTTTTCGTCACGTCGGTAATGCCTAAATAGGGACCAGTTTCCCATAAAAGACCTCCCGGAACGCGCCGTGATGCGTGGACGAATGCATTCCCCCTGGACAGATCACCGACACGTCATGGCGGCAGGCGCTAAATAAAACCGAACCCATAAAGTTTGGAACATTCGAAAACTACACAAAGCAGGAAATTCAATTTGCACCGTTTCCAAAGAAATTGACAGATCAAAAAACGTCAAAAACATACTTAAAAGGAAACAAGAGGAGCAATCGAGAAAGAGAAAGAAGTTAAACGGTACGACTTTTTAACAGATATCTATACGGGCGACCGACGACAAGACTTCAGCCCTCCAACTTCCTGCCCGAAAATCGACACCGAGTCAGTTAGAAACCGAACCGGTTTCAAAGTTTCAAGGAACGGTTTAGCCCATTTGGTAAAATTGCACTTAGGTAGCCCTAAGGCGCAAAAGTCGGTTTTTAACACGTATCAGTCTACCACCTAGTCTACACGCGAAGCACAGATGTGCCCAAGCGGGGGCGAGCTCCCACACCCATAAAACTACACAACATCGAGTACGCCACGAACAGCCAAGAGGACCAACTTGAAGCCGGCGCTGTCACGCGGGCTAAATAATCGAGTGCCATAGTATTGGAAGTACCGGGACTACCTAGATGCACTTCTACCACCCATTCTTCGTAAGTGGAGTCTACCGTATATAAGCTTATACCTATTATTATATCCCTTGCGGCGACAAATCACGAACTGGTGAGATGGCGCCACTCCTCTAGGAGTTTCCCGTGAATCCTGGATTGAAAAACGGGGACAAGGTTTTTCCCAGAGGGGATTCTGGGTATTGTTACTACTTCTTGTTGGGTGATCACTGCCATGAGCATGTGTAGTTCTCTTTCAAGTGTACTCGAGGATTGTTGTAAATAAATGTTGTTTTAGTTTAAAACGTTTACAGCCTTCTGATAAAGACTGTATTTGTGGAGATGCAAATGGATGGAGAAAGACGGCCAGGTTTCGTCTAACCGATGGCTGCCATCCATTACCTCCACCCTACACATTTGTTTTCATACACTCCCGGTCACACATCAATATACATATTGTGAAGGATCGCGAATACTGTTAACAAAGAGAGAGAATTTTTACAATATAAAAGTCTTTTATTCGCGTACAGAGTACAGGAAATAATTTTAAGATGCCAGCTATTATCTCTATCCCTGGACAATATATCTTAATTTTAACAACATAGACCCAACAAACAAAATTAAATAATTCGACAATTCCTTACTTTTAATAATTATTCTACTAATAAACTATACACTCAAATCTTAGGGCTAAACTTACGGCTAATGATTATATACTAAAAGTGAAAACTAGATTTTAGACAAGACAGAAACTGAGATAAAGGTGAAAGACAAAGGAAGTTGGGTACCCAAATGTTTCCGGCGTGTTTCACGGGGTATGAAAAGTTCTTTTCTACGGACTTTCTGATTCACTAGACACTTCAGTACGAATCAAAGCAACTTTCCCAGTATTCATTCTTCTCCGTTTTCGTTTTCTCTTCAAAAGGTTCGTTTTGGTTTCCACTCGGTCCCAATCCCTCCAAGAGCCGGCACTTGTACAGATTAACGGGTACGGCTATTTGAGAGGTTTACTTCCATAAAATTAACTAAATCTAGACTAATTTCACTCGAATATTTCCTAAACACGTATAATTTGTTGAAATGATCGATATAAAATATGCTATGAACAAAAAATTGTCGGAATACTTATTGAGTGTACCCGTTCGAAGACACCATTGCTTAAGCTTGTTTTCGTCGCAGAACGGCACATTCTTCGTACGCGTCCGCTTCCAATGTGTCGGTGCTATTCGGTCACGTGACTACTCATCTCTGACGTGTTCCTGATAACTTATTCTTTTTGCAAAGAATTCACTGAACTTTAGAGACATCACGTGATAGATTACAATAAAAAATCTATAGTATATTATGATTAAAAACGACTTATTATTATTATTGACTATATGAAGCAGCAAAGGAAAAACCACTCGCTAATGACAACAATTCTATCATGATNGAGGATTGTTGTAAATAAATGTTGTTTTAGTTTAAAACGTTTACAGCCTTCTGATAAAGACTGTATTTGTGGAGATGCAAATGGATGGAGAAAGACGGCCAGGTTTCGTCTAACCGATGGCAGCCATCCATTACCTCCAGTGGTGAGCTGAATGTGATTCGACGTGAATTCGAACACAGAGAAAAGAACAAGACCTTTACTAGTACTGCATTGTGTTCCCTCAGTGGATAGAACGGAATACATTCCGTGAGTACGATAAATGACGCTCCTTGGGAAGGTGAACCGCTCGCCACACGTAGCCACTCCTAACCGGTGAAATTATCCCCACATCTGTGTGTCTGCAACCTCTTGCCAGAGTAAGTCATCTAACACAGGTAAGTGGAGTTTTCTGTTCCATTTTTTTTGTTGTTCTGCTGAGTAGGTATCCCCTGGTTGTCTTAAAATGCCAAATGAAATCGATCTTAAGCCAGAAATCAGTCGGGTAGCCCTTAACCTTCCCCAATTTTGGGATAAAGAAGCCAATTTATGGTTTATTAATATCGAGGCCCAGTTTAAACTCGCCGATATATCGCAAGATACTACTAAGTATTACGCAGTGGTTTCAGCTCTCAACTCGGAAGTGTTAGCGTACGTGAGCGCTATCGTTAAAAACCCTCCTAGAGAAAATTTATATCAAACACTAAAAGATCAACTCATAGCAGAATTTTCCGATTCCGAACAAAAATGAGTGAAAGATTTGCAGTCTAATGCCGTGTTAGGAAATGATAAACCATCTCATCTTTTACACACAATGCGACAACTAGCTAGTAATAAAGTCAGGGAGGAATTTTTAAGAACGCTATGGATTCAGCGTTTACCCAAAGAAACTCAGGCAATTCTTTCTGTTTCCAATAGGGATTTAGACAAATTAGCCCAAATGGTCGATAAAATTCTCGAGCTCACACCTTAGCTGAAACTAATTTAGCAAGGAACGAAAATAATACACATGCGGCTACAATGAAGCTCCAAACGCAGGTCGCTGAATTAACAGAGCAAGTTAATCGCCTAGCAAGGCCCAGCGACAGACAATCACACGATTATAGACATCCCCGGAATCGATCTCGGAATCATTGGCATTCACAGACACCAGTTCAACCCCAGGCAAAAAACCTATGCTGGTATCACGCGAAGTTCGGTGATCAAGCAAATAAATGTAAAGCCCCTTGCAAATTCCGAGATCAGGAAAACTAGCCCGGAAATCACACGTGGCACAATGTGATTTCCAAATTAACAACACAAGCCGCCTTTTTGTTTATGATCCAACCTCACGTCGTCACTACTTAATCGACAGTGGTAGCGACATTTGCGTTCTACCATATAACGCCGCCATGGCATTAAGAGCACCCGCCTCATTGATACTTTATTCGGCAAACAATTCCCCGATAAAGACTTACGGCACAAAAAACCATAACTGTGTCCCTAAACTTAAGGCGTCAATTTACGTGGCCTTTTGTAATCGCAAACGTCAGCAAACCAATAATAGGCGCCAATTTCATAAGAAACTTCGGTCTCCTGATCGACTTAAAAAAACGAACGCATTACAGACCCATTAACGTCTTTGACAACGACAGGGTCCGCTCACCACAGTGCGCAAATTAACATTACTTTGATTGCTTCTAATTCGGAATTCAGCGACATTTTAAACAAATATAAAGATATCCTTGGCCATATCCATCTAGCACCAAACCCAAACATAACACAGTCCATCGTATTATTACCAAAGGACATAACGTTTTTTCTCGCCCCTGCCGTCTCAATCCCAAACAGCTGGAAATTGCAAAAAAGGAATTCCAGTTAATGTTAGAACTAGGCATTTGTCAGCCGAGTAATTCCAATTGGTCCAACCCACTACACTTAGTACCCAAATCCGAACGGGGACTATCGTCCCACCGGGGATTACCGGGCCCTTAATAGAATAACAGCGCCAGACAGGTACCAACTGCCTCATCTACAAGATTTTGCTCAGAATTTATACGGGAAGACTATATTTTCCAAAATAGACCTAACGCGAGCATATCATCAGATCCCGGTCCACCCCGAAGACGTACCCAAGACTGTAATTACAACACCCTTCGGCCTTTATGAATTTTTATACATGCCATTTGGGTTGTCCAATGCGGCACAAACTTTCCAGAGGTTTATGCACGAAGTCTTACATGGATTAGATTTTGTTTTTGTCTACATAGACAANTGTCGGTGCTATTCGGTCACGTGACTACTCATCTCTGACGTGTTCCTGATAACTTATTCTTTTTGCAAAGAATTCACTGAACTTTAGAGACATCACGTGATAGATTACAATAAAAAATCTATAGTATATTATGATTAAAAACGACTTATTATTATTATTGACTATATGAAGCAGCAAAGGAAAAACCACTCGCTAACGACAACAATTCTATCATGATATATATTATAATGATGATAAATATTAATCAGATGCAACATAAGATGTCTCATGTCGATGTAAATAAATATTATACAATTTTGTTTACGACATGAGAGATTAGACCATTGAAAAGTAGAACAGAATTATTAGTTATTTATCGCATTATCATACGTTATTATATGTTGATTTTAATCCATATTTAGAATGGAATGAAGTTTTAATATTTCTGTTAATGATGTCTCTAAAGTTCAGTGAATTCTTCGCAAAAAGAATGCCCTCCTGAACCCCTTTTTACCCTAAGGGTCACACACCTTCCTCTTTGTTCTACAGGGGTCCCCCGCTGTTCCACCGTCAAACAAAAGAGGGAAGAAACTTCCAGAAAGACAATAGAAAAGGAAGACAAAGGAAAATATATAAAGAAAATATGAACTATTACTATACAATTATGGCATGTAGCCACAATATAACAATTTGTCAAATATTATAAATAAGTGCACATAAATAAACCATAGGATATTTGTAAAACACAGATTGGAAGGATAAAAGTGATAATATCTCTTAGTTTATAAAGACGACTTCACTTAAAGTTAAAATACAAATCAAGGTTAAATTCCAGATACGTATACCGTCATAAGCACGTTCTGACCTAACCTAACCAATTCTAATAAATTAACATAATTATTACCAACCAAATTATTAGAATTAGTTAGGTTAGGTTAGGTTAGAACGTGCGTCCCCACTGTTTCCTTTTGTTTGCTGGAATCAGAGATGAGCCGCCATGACAGTATACGTATCTGGAATTAAACCCGAATGAATACTTGGACGTCACTTGGGTCAATAACAGAAGAAATTGACCAATTTTACTTTTTTGTGAAACTGTGCTTATTATTTATTACGTACATCAAACAACTCACGAATTTACTAACCTTTTCTTTCCTTTCGTACACTTTCAAAGGCTTAAAAATAACGAGAACGTCGACTAGACAAATACAAGAACGTCGTCCGGACGAGCATCAGTGTTCTACTCTACTCTACTCTACTCTCTCTCGTTTATATGGAGAGCATCAGTGTTGCCGGACGAGAAACCAAAAAAATCCTAAAAAACAACGAACTGCCCCCCGGTGGCGTAACCTTAAACTACAAACGAAGGATAAAAATTTTTGCCGATTTATTACTATGAAATTTATAATAAAATCATTTGTTTTTTATTTTCTTGGCTTATGATGTACGTAACACGAGAAAGTATCGAAATCGTGTCAAATTTGAACTTACGAGTTTTTTCGGCAAATCTCTCCACGTTTTGAGACATCCCGAGCCCAAAAAAAGGTAAAAAAAAAAAACGTAAATAATTCAGTAGATGTGTGTTTAGGTGTGTTTTTGTTGAAATCTATTTCGTTTAATATTTCGGCCNGAGCCGCCATGACAGTATACGTATCTGGAATGAAACCCGAATGAATACTTGGACGTCACTTGGGTCAATAACAGAAGAAATTGACCAATTTTACTTTTTTGTGAAACTGTGCTTATTATTTATTACGTACATCAAACAACTCACGAATTTACTAACCTTTCCTTTCCTTTCGTACACTTTCAAAGGCTTAAAAATAACGAGAACGTCGACTAGACAAATACAAGAACGTCACCTGGACGAGCATCAGTGTTGCCGGACGAGAAACCGAAAAAATCCTAAAAAAACAACGAGCTGCCCCCCAATGGCGTAACCGTAAACTACAAACGAAGAATAAAAATTTTTGCCGATTTATTACTATGAAATTTATAATAAAATCATTTATTTTTTATTTTCTTGGCTTATGATGTACGTAACACGAGAAAGTATCGAAATTGTGTCAAATTTAAACTTACGAGTTTTTTCGGCAAATCTCTCCACGTTTTGAGACATCCCGAGCCCAAAAAAAGGTANGCTTTGTGAATATTTGAAAGGCGCAAAACAATCCGACAATGCGGAAATTTCATGGACAGACGAATCAAAAAAGGCATTCGAGGAATCCAAAACTCGATTAGCAAACGCAGCTCTACTAGCTCATCCAGCCCTGAACGCACACTTAGCATTGCAGGTTGACGCATCAGAGTTTGCCCTTGGCGCCGCGCTGCATCGGACCACTATAGCCAGCACAGAGCCGGTAAGTTTTTTTTCGCGCAATCTTACAGATACGAAGAAGAACTATTCAGCATACGATCGCGAGATGTTAGCCGCTTACTCGGCAATTAAACATTTACGTTTTATGGTGGAAGCTAGATTCACACGTTATATACAGATCACAAGCCATTGACATTCGCTTTTCTCCAGAAAAGTGAAAAATGCTCCCCCAGACAATTACGTCAATTAGACTATATAGGCCAGTTCACCACTGACATTCGATACTTAAAAGGAACTGATAATATTCCGGCCGATACACTTTCCAGAGTCAAATCTATCGTTTGCCCTTCTCCCATAAATTACAAATTAATTGCTGATGCACAAAAGACCGACCCAAACCTCCAATCACTTTTGGGAAATAGTTCGACCAGTCTACAGCTTAAAAAACTAATATTACCAGAAAATCAAGTAGAACTTTACTGTGATGTGTCCACCGGTAAGATTTGCCCTTCTATCCCCGAGACGCAAAGGCAATCAGTTTTCCATGCCATGCATGACCTTTTGCACCCAGGCAGTAAAGCCACGGTGAAGCTAATAATTGATCGGTTCGTATGGCCGGGCATGGAGGCTGACTGTCGCAAGTGGACAACTACGTGCATTCCTTGCCAACGCGTCAAAATTACTAGACATACTAAAAGTCCAATTACAAGTATCCCCGTGGAAAACAAACGTTTCTATCACATCCACATCGACCTTATTGGTCCGCTCCCTCCTTTTGGAAATCATTGCTATTGTCTCACTATAATCGACAGGTATACTTGTTGGGTTGAAGCAGAACCACTGCAGGATATAGAGGCCGACACCGTGGCTAAAGCCTTATACTGAACCAAGCTTATGGATAACTCGGTTCGGCGTTCCAGGGGTCATTACTACCGACCAGGGACGCCAATTTGAATCACGTTTGTTTCGGTCTTTGGCTATTCTAATGGGTTCCAAGCACATACATACATGCTCCTTTCACCCCCAGGCTAATGGTATGATCGAAGGTTGGCATCGGACATTAAAATGTGCCCTGAAAACCTACTTAACAGAACAGTGGACGGAGATACTCCCTACCGTACTACTTGGGTTAAGGACAACGTTCAAGCTTGACCTACAAGCAACATCCAGTGAGTTAGTCTACAGACAGACAATACGTTTACCAGGTGAATTCTTCGATCCTACCCCAGCGGACATAAACACTGCAGATTTCATAAAGACACTAAAGTCTTTCTTCAAAAACTTAACACCAATGCCGGCAGCATCGCATGGGGAGCCCAAACTTTTTGTTCCCATGCATTTAAGAGACTGTAGCCACGTTTTTCTACGTTACGATGCCGTACGCGCCCCACTACGACAGACCATTCCCCGTAGTGGAAAAGGGAGACAAATTCTTCAAAATTATAAAAAATAACAAAGAAGTGGTCGTCTCCATCGACAGACTGAAACCTGCCTTTATGCTCAATGAGAAAGACTCAAGCAGCCCTGCACAGCCAGTGACAGATTAACCCAGCAACAAGATGGCTGGGCATACTCACCAACCAGAACCCGCATACGAGACGAGGACCTCACGACACGGCCGCAAAATCAAACCCCCAGCGAGATTCATCGATGGCGGTCGTTAGGAGGGGGTACTGCGACGACAAATCACGGACAGGCGAGACAGCGCCACTCCTCTAGGAGTTTCCCGTTAATCCCGAATTGAAAAACGGGGACAAGGTTTTTTCCAGAAGAGATTCTGGGTAATGTTACTTCTTGTGGGGTGATTGCTGACACGAGCACGTGTAGCTCTCTTTCAAGTGTACTCGAGGATTGTTGTAAATAAATGTTGTTTTAGTTTAAAACGTGGTCGTGGACTTAACTAATTCACGTTTACAGCATTCTGATAAAGACAGTATTTGTGGAGATGCAAATGGATGGAGNCCAAAGAAATTTTACCATTGCAATTATATATATATATATATATATATATAAATTCAAACATAATAAACATTGTTAAATTATTGTCTACATAGCGCGGTTGTTGAAAATCATTTGCATAAATTTCTTTGTTCCGTTGATTTGATGAGTACGGCAACGCAACACGCGAGAGATGTGCCAAAGGGAGATGTCTCGCGGGAGAACTTTCTATGGCCTCCTTTTAGGTGTTACATACGTGAAGAAAATCTGCAAAACTCCACGTTGCTAGCCCGTTGGTCAGACGCGATCCCGCAATCAACTCCCAACGTTTAGTGGATTTAGCCACTTGGTTACTGTGTGCCTTCCTTTGTTCATCCGGTCATGATAGATAAGGGATGCGAATTCTTTAATATTTCTTTAATAGTTTGTGATAATGCGATTAAGAATGGTATGTATTGGATTATAGGATCACCTGGTTTAAGGTTATGAAATTTCGATACCGATGACCTTCATTTAACGAAATCAAAGAACGAAATTCTTGCTCTTAAAAGTCGTATCAAGCTGTAAAAACCGATATTGTAATTTTTCTAAGAACTTGCTTCATAATGAGATTACGAGAGAAATTTGCTAATTTGTTTCCAGTTTCGATAGGCAATGGTTTCCGAGTAACATTGTCTGACAACGAAGGAATTTCCAATGAATAGCTCGAGCTTCGTAGAGTACGAAGGAAAATTCGAAAAAAAAACAAAGATGAAATGACGAATCAAAACACTGAAGTCTTTCTGAAGTGTTTGGAATCTCCGCTTTATTCGTCCTACCATAAAATGCATCTTCAGTTTCGTGTTATATATGAAAATTAAGATAATTTTTGTGACTCGCGTTGAGACACAATGTGNGAAGGTAGGTATGTGGCCAGTATATCGGAGTTAAGGTACGGACGATCGTGAGGTCCAAGGTTAAGAGACGGCCTAGCTCTTGGCGGGCCCGTGTGTATTGCGGGCAGACAAGCCAATAGTGGATGGAAGTTTCTGGCGAGCCACAGTGGGGGCAATCTATTGCTCTTAAAAGCTGTATCAAGCTGTAAAAACCGATATTGTAATTTTTCTAAGAACTTGCTTCATAATGAGATTACGAGAGAAATTTGCTAATTTGTTTCAAGTTTCGATAGGCAATGGTTTCCGAGTAACATTGTCTGACAACGAAGGAATTTCCAATGAATAGCTCTTCGTAGAGTACGAAGGAAAATTCGAAAAAGAAAACAAAGATGAAATGACGAATCAAAACACTGAAGTCTTTCTCAAGTGTTTGAAATCGCCGCTTTATTCGTCCTACCATAAAATGCATCTTCAGTTTCGTGTTATATATGAAAATTAAGATAATTTTTGTGACTCGCGTTGAGACACAATGTGGATTTCAAACCGAAGAAACTGCTCAAAATATAAAAGTAATTTAATACATTCGTCTAAATTAATTGGGGTGTATTCGAGTATAGATCCAGCGGTGTTTATGATAATTTTACAATTGGGAAAAATGGAAGAATTTTGTGCACATTTTCATTTTTTGTTCTTTTCTCCTGAAGGGAGCTTTTTTTCATACCATCGTAGGTTCGACCAGTTTTACAATGGGGCGTATGGGGGACGGGGCCCGACATATCCGGAAGAGACCGTTTACGAAAATTCTGGGGTGCTCATCCGGACTCGATCCCTGCTCCTCCAGAGCTGTAGGCCGCGCCCTTGTCAACACAGTGTATCCTTGTATTAACACAGTATATCACAAGAAAAATTAGGTTCTGCCGAACCTATTGAAATAGTCGAAAAAATATTAATCTTAATTGACAACGGGCTTGTACTGTACAACTAGCCCACGTGTTGCATGACCTTATCTCATCGATACTACAGTTTATAAATTATAAAGAAATTTTACCATTGCAATTATATATATATATATATATATATACAGTATTTCAATTTCGGGGCCCCATACCCGAGCCCCTAGGCGTATGCTTCACCGCCAAGTAGGCAATCCGGCACCATCCGCGGGGCAGAATCGAAATTTACAATAAACGAAGACGTTTTGAGATGAGAATCAACGAAGATCAATTACAGAACTTACCCGGTATGAACAATGGCAAAGGCTTTTGAAGACTTATTGTAGAAATCGATTCTATTGATGTATTCGACTCCTTCTCGCTAAACAAATCAAAAGAGAGAATGAAAATGTCATCGACTATTGCCAATTATGTGATGAAGTATATTATAAGAGAAAGCGCATACCATCATCAAATCCGATAAATCGCCTTGAACGATCCCGGGATACAACTCTTGTATTATTTCGTAATAATTTCTCCAAATTAGATCGGTTTTCCTAAATACATTTTCGTCTTGGCTTTCCAATTTCATAAGACAAACCTGGAATATTAAAAAATATATATATATTATTTTAGTAATTAATTTTTTCTTTACGTTAAATTCTTAAACCAAGTTTTGGCACAGGTTGAGATTGAAATTTAAACAATACCACATGTATTATATACACTGTAGTTTTCAATAATAATGCAATAACATTTATGGTAATTTTGTTCTCTTTCTGTAAGTCATTTTCCATAGTACGTGTTTTTTCATTTTTGATTCTTTCTGCCTTGTGGACACTAAGAGAGCCTTTTTATCCCTACACATTGTGGGTAAGACTAGGTCCAAAATGGGGCCGGCCGATTTACTTAGATTCAGAAGGTTTATGGCTTAGTTCCATACCATCCGACGACACATTGTGGGTCTCTGTCAGGCCCACAATAATGCTTTTACCGGTAATGCTTATGCGGGGCCGGTCTGTATTTTAATGTACAATATTAAAATGAATGAATGAATGAATGAATGACCCACAATAAGCGCGGTCCTAGTGTCCACAGTGAGAAAGAATTAATATGCGCTCAAAAATTGGAAAAGTAGTATTCGATCATCAAACATTAAATCTTTGAAAAAACAGTGATGTAGTACTTTTAAACTTATGCCTATTTAAACCTTATAAAATACAGAAATTGGAATTTTATAGATTCAAATGTTGCATTCAACCTCGCATTGATTTTCTACTTTAAGTATCATTCGAATTATGCATCGTACTGTGTATCAGCTATTATACTCTTATAAGCAGGTCTGATAAATTGAGCAGCTTACGAATACTCATTTAGCATCAGTACAATAAAATCTAGTCCAAAAATCAGTTAACCACGATAAAGCCTAATTGCCTATATTATTCAAATACTTGACTACTTACAGACTTTACAAAAATCCATCAAAATGAAACCATTCTTATTCGGTATACGTATACAAATTATGGGAGTGTATCAATAATTCTGTAAGATTCATTCAATTCACTATTGCACGGTTAACTGAATTTTGGGCATCCTGTGTTTATAAAAATAATATACCGAGTACACAGCTTAAATGTTCTTTATAGATAATAAAAACAAATATACGTAAACATCTCACTAGTGTAGAAATTATCTATAAGTAAAAACTTTTAACAAACCCGTTATGACTAGTTATAATTTTCAGCAAATCACGTTTAAGATAGCCATATTTCCCACCAATCAGCGTTTAAGATAAGTTTTAAATATTTAAGAGAACTATTGCGATTCTCTTGCACGATTTTTTACATTAGCGCACATGTAAAAACGGTCGGGTGAAGACTAATACTTTAATTCCAAGAAATTTCTAGTATATTTCAAAAAGAAATTGTTACTTTTATTTATTCATTTGTTATAAGAAATGGAATTTATTAAAATTCAAATTTTACTCGTCGATATTCATCGATAGGAAACTACGTGGAACACGATACACATACGAAACAAATGATGGAAATTACAGAGAAAAATATATTACTAGATTTACGAATAATCAATCTAAAATTTATGATTTTCTACATCAATTTTCGATGTAGTTTCCTATACAAACGTCAAGTTGCAATCAAATTCCACATGCAATTTTCTACCACAAAAAACTAATGTTTAGTTAATGAAAATTGAAGAATGTAGCTGTATTTATCCAGTTGTGTGTGATAAAATAATGTTTAGTTAATACGCTTTTATATAGCTCCTTCTATACAAATTACACATATAAATAAAATTATAAATAAAAATTACTAACTTACCGGTTTCTCCACGTATGTATCTAATGGTATTAATTTCAATATAGCTCGAAGCAAATCGGGAATTTCTTGTCCTTGTCATTAAAAATTTATTTAAAAATTAATAAAAATATACTGTGATTAGTTACTTTTTCGTCCAACAGATGGCATTGTCGAATCGATTTCTAGTCTATATTTAGAGAATAGCGCATTCCGATAACTGATCCTCCATATTTATTCCAGTTCTTAGTATTTTATTCATTGTTTATTATAGGTTACTTTAATTTATATTAATAAAATGTTTAGCTGTTGTATTAAATGGAACCAATATTACTTTAGAATGTCTATTTGCTTTCCTACTTGTAAACACAGTACGGCAAAAAAGGACTAAATATGGCGGCACCGTACCCGAATGCGTTGCTCTATATATCTAGCAGTTCAGTAACTTGACAATCCAATCTTTGAACGAAAATTACTTCTAGTTTAATCTAAGCTTTATTTAATGATTTTTGATGCACAATACGCACAATTAACATAAATTCACGTGATGTAATGCTTACCATCGAGACGTATCTCTTTAGGACCATTTCTACACAGACTCGAGGTAGGAAAGTGGACATCCGCAAGAACTGAAAACGTATAAAATTAATGTTTACGAGCTTTAAACAAATTTTCTAACTTTACCAAAAGTATAAAAAATAAAATGCTATTGTAGAATTAAGGAAAACGAAGATAATAAGTAGTAAATAAAGTAAATACCCACGCACACACAATTCTAGTCTTTAATCATTAGATTTCCTATCGATAACATGATGTTGAAGGATTTCCTTCTCTCCTTATCATCCTGCTCATCTTAAACATTACCTATTTTTGTAGATAGATGAGTTATTTATAGTATATGTAGGTTAAACTGCGCAATATTGTAGGCTTTTCGAGAAATTATTCTATCAATATATAACAACAAACCTTATTATTTTGGGGGTGGAGATCATTTGGGATACTTATAAGCGCTAATTAATGAGGCTCCGATCGAATACGGGCCAATAGAGCTTTGTATATTCATACAATGTACTGTACATAACTTATATAAAATTAAATTTGGGTTTCCTGGCATTAAAGGCCCCCCAAAATTTAGTCTTTCGTAGACTATAAATATACACACAATTTACAAGTCTCGATTAATTAAATTCGGATAGGAAATCGGCAAAGCCTACACATTTAACTTTTTTTTTATAGAAAAAAAGCTAATTTTGGAGCTCCTTGCACAGATAAGGCCCTAAAATTTAGTCTTTTGTTTCAAAAAACATGATAAAGCTTCGATTCGATTTAAAAAATCGTATATTTTAATCGCTTTTGGAGAGGAAGTAGGCCTCCCTCTTACCTCTCGGGCCTTCCGTATCACTAAGTTATTCTGTATAATTAATGAGTTATTAAATACTCTGATAGACACAATTATTGTAGGCCTATATAATCCAAGTCTATGGCCTTAATATTTGAAGCCTACAACATACAATAGCCTAACTTTTTATAAAATTATGTACATTTACAGTGTAATTATACGGCATTTACGATATAAAAAGCGAGTAAATTTTTACATATCTAACAATACATTACACGTAACAATACAAGTCTCTTAATCAATTAATTTCCGTATAAATGGAATAAATTGTTTTATTTTAAAAAAGCAAATTTAAATGACTTTAATTGAATTAATCATTACGTAATCAATATATAGGGTGGCCTAAAAGTCGGTTAACCGAGGTAATTGACTTTTTACATTTCAGTTAACTGACTTCCGGTTTATATGAAGGAAATTAATTTTACGATCGATATTAATTTTTTAATTAATTAAAAAAAGCAAATTTTACTTTTTAATTATTAAAATACATAAAAGTTGTTCTTGAATCTTTGAAAAAATTATTGTTATTAAGAAGATAATGAAATCAAATGAGAGCACGCGATAGGATAATCGTGTTCAAGTAATTACATATTTCTATAGAAAGAAAGATGAAAAATACGTGGAATTTTTTATCATTTTCAACGAATTTCTTCTTTCTCTAAATCAACATCGATTCTGACTAAATTAATCAATGAATTTATTTTTTTTAATATTTAAAAAAGTGAGAAACCTCACACAATATCCCTTTACGTATTAAGAATTTTAAACCAAATTAGGACGGAAATGAATATAGCTGTGACCCTTTAAATTCTACGAATCGATAATTACTTCATTAGTAAGGTATACAACACCTAGATGACGTCACCGAATAGATTTTTTTCGAATTTTCTTTTTTTTCTCTTCGCCATATTCAGGATATTGGATTCGTGTGCTATTAAGGAGAGAAAGGAAATGAAGTTTTGTCAGCATCACACAAATGTAATACGGGGATGCGACTCTTCATATCTTTCAACACCCTCGCAATCTGTTCGCTTACTAAAGTCGTAACTAGATACAAAATCCTTCCAGTTTGTTGTTTCAATTGTTCTATATTATGAATAAAATAATACAATTTTCTGTATATTTACACTCTTAACAGCGTAAGCATTGTTGTAACTTATTCATCTATTACGCCTACAGTTAGTAGTGTTTTACGTGCTAAGTAAACGACACAATGCAGTTGAATAATTACTGTAGTGTTAATTACAGTAGTATGGTTAAAGCGATTTTTCTGTACTACACAATAGTAAAATTTTATTACGTAAAACTCTACTACAGTAATGGTTTTGTCGTGTGTTTAACCGTCGTCCTATTGTTGCATAGACGCAAAAACTAAAAAAAATGGTAATTCTTTTTACAAATTAAGATGAATTTTACTGCTATTCCCATACAATACTTTGCTAATGTATAGGCTAAGTGAAAGCGTTGGTGCAATTAAAGCAAAAAGTGACAGCTATGCGTGGAATGTTTTAAGGAGCCTGTAACAAGTTTCGGAGTGGGGGCGGATGCGGAGTCAAGTAATTTTTCTCATGGTTCTTTACCTTGTCTAGTTATCTTACGGAAGCGACTCACCCCGAAGGGACATGTCGAGCGTATTTACAACTGTCCCGCTGCTTGTGATTTATGTGTCCCTCTTTTATCTACAGAGCCCTTATTCACCTATCTGTCTGTCCGTTCCAAAAACCATTCTATACCACCCGACCTGTCTATTTACCGCATTTGAAATTTCTTTACATGTTTACCGACGATGCTTTTGTTAGCGATAACTTTCGTGTCTCACTTCGAGCTGTCAAGCAATTTCTTGTACCTTTAATCGACAGACCTTCGAGCACCTTCCCGCTTACTACGCTATTATATACATACATAAAAAGATATTTTTTAAATTGGCTCTTTAAAAAAAACTACCTTTTAAGGCACTTAAGGTATTTTTCGTTACAAAAAACATTTAAGAGAGATTTTCTTTTGCATTTTTAATCAATTTTAAGCATTTTTATACNTACATAAAAAGATATTTTTTAAATTGGCTCTTTAAAAAACTACCTTTTAAGGCACTTAAGGTATTTTTCGTTACAAAAAACATTTAAGAGAGATTTTCTTTTGCATTTTTAATCAATTTTAAGCATTTTTATACGGTGTTTTAATACGTTTTAAGGTACTTAAAATATCTTTAAGTGTTCTAAGTTATAAATGTTTAAATTTTGTAAATTTAATTATATATTTCCATAATTACCTTTGTTATTAATTTAAAACATAATTTTATTTTATTTATTTGTTTTTTAATGTTTAAATTTAATTGTTTTAGTCGATATTCATCGATAGGAAACTACGTGGAACACGATACTCATACGAAACAAATGATGGAAATTACAGAGAAAAATANTATATATTTCCATAATTACCTTTGTTATTAATTTAAGACATAATTTTATTTTATTTATTTGTTTTTTAATGTTTAAATTTAATTGTTTTAAAATTAATTTTTTAAAAAGGAAAAATACATTTAAAAAAAGGCAAAAAAAATGACAAAAATTCTGCGGAAAAAAATCAAGAAAATTGGGATTTAATTTAAAAATTAAATAATAATTAATAAAAATTAATTTTATTGGATATTTAATTTAACATTTAAAAAATTTTTAAATATAATTAAAATGCTATAAAATTTTAAGTAATTTGTTTAAAATGATTTCAATTTCCTTTAAGAAACGTTAAAAGAAATTTAAATATTTAACGGTTCGCAACATTCTTTTATGAATTTGCCCATTGTACACTAATTTACGACACTAATTTGCACAGGTATTTTGACTGCGGAGTCATAATTTTTTTTATTGCTTTAATGAATGAACAAAGCTAAAAATATTTGAATTAGTCACGTGACAAGGTCCCACTTCAACTTTCTTTTATTACAAACGAGTAATGACTCTTAATGAAGGTATTCCTCGACACTATATCGACGGATACTTAAAATTTTGTTTTCTTCTAAAAAAAAAAGAAAATGTCGAGTGGAAAACGATGTTGTTACATGCAAATGAACGTCATTAAATTTAAATACGGACGACTAACACGTGACAGAACGTCACACGACGGTTACGTCAACGTGAGTCACCGAATGCCATAGGTCAATCGCATCGCACGTGACATCACGTATGGAATGTTGTCGTGCGACGTGTTTCCGGTATGAAAATTGTAAATTTTTTTCCCGTTTCATTCAGTTTGTTTTAAAGAGAATATCCTGGTTATAATTACTTGTAAATTATTTTCTCGTTTCTTGTTTTATTTACTCGCAAAATTACGGTTCGTACAGGACTTCTAAGAACGTTTTAATACTAGATAATAATAAACAATAATGTACATTTTCGCATTCTATAATTTAAAAAAAATTTGTATATATTTTTCATTAATTTAATTCCTAGAAATGGTGTAATCTTTGCGCTTTTGTGAACGTTTAAAAAAGTTTTAAAAACGACTAAATTCCGTGCAGATTTTAAGAGCAAAAACATGTAAAAACATTGCATTGGGCTTGCTGTCTGTGATGAAATACCTCTTAAAAGATACAACAATAAAAAATTCACAATAAAATAACATTATAAATTTAAAGAAATCAATTAAATTTTCTAAATAAAATTAAAATTTATTGGAGAACAATGGCTTTAATTTTGACGTTTAAGTGGGTCACCCACCACAGGAGAGAAACGATCGTTTAAGCGAAGTGAAAATTAACTAGACGAGAACAATTCACAAATAATGTTTTAAACCAATCGAAGCAGACTTAATAAACCCATCACAACCCAACCCACCTACTACACTAAATCGTAAACTACGGTTGCCCCTACTCCTAGGGTGCGTTCGTTAATAGCGGTCGCTCTGCGTCTCCGCTACTACGGGAGTACGCTGCTGTTTGTAGGCATTTAGGAACGACGGTGAAAGAAAGAAAGATGGTGGCGCCCGCACTATCGATAGTATCGTGATGGACGAATCTATAATTCTGAAATATGAGCTTTTAAAAGCAAAAGTAAGGTCCCAATTATAAAATTTAACCATAAAATGGATTATTTGTTGAAAGGGCATTCGAAATAGCCACGAAAAAAATTAGAATGCCGACTACCATCCGAAAAAAATTCGAAAAGACACTTACATCACCACGTGCACTAACTCGCGCTTTCACAACTTCTAAATTTTTATTTATAAAACCAGATAATGAACCCCGAAACGAAACTATCTGAGCCATGGAGGACGCCATGTTGCTTTCCACCGTAAACTACTACTACAAGCGGCCGTTTTTGCCGTTCGACGGCGCGCACTCCGACCGGAATTTAGGAACGCGTTCGGCAGGAATTTTTAAACGGATGTCGCTCGCGCGGAGTTACGCGGAAGAATAAAAGAACGCACCCCTAATGACTTAAACATTGTCCCTATGGCAATAACCCAAAGTAACCCCCCGTCGTGTGTGTTTTCGTTTGTGTGCGAAAGCGGCTTAACCAAAGAATCCAATGAGATAATAGTAAGCGGCCGGGTAAAGTATCAATAGGAGTTTATAGGAGAAGGAGAACGTGGAGAGGTAGTGTGCCGGGTACTGTTAACAGATACAAGACCGTGAA